GCAAAGAGCCATCTTGTGTTTCTTTATGTGCAACCAACTTTTGAATAAATTATTTTCTTTCTTGTAAGTGATCATTCAAATGGTCTAAGACTGTTCATTGTGATAAATTTAATGGATGGAAGTCTTAGAAAAAAATTTCAGGATGGGACCATAGCTCAAACCCATAACAACTTCAGTAACTATTAATACCAAAATTTAAAAAATAATAACAAATTAATCTTTCCTCTTTACCGAGGCCGAAAATACACTATTTCAGAGTAAAAAGAGTTTCATAAAGCCTTTTAGAACAGGAAGAAGGTGGAAGCTGATTTTACTCCTACTCAATACTACTGACAGCTGGCATGTGGGCTGTCATTGTGTTGAGGTGGCTGATCTTCACCTTAACACCTAGACTCAGAGGTATACCAAAAAGTATTAAAACACCAAACAGCCTTAGAATTCATGTTAACTTCTCTTCTTGTTCTGTACTAATACTGGCAATGATTTAAAGCTTAAACTCACCACCAGCACCCTTTGGAGTAGCTCTGCCTGACAGCGTACCAATCTTCAGGCAAAGAGCTGCAACTCTCTGGGGTGTTGCTTCCACCTGCACTATCTTCCCCTGCCTTTATGAAGCTGTATTCAACTTCTAGCACCTGAGCTTTCACTAGGTGATCTGTTGTTTTTGGCTTTCCTTTCATTCCCAGTGCTGTCCATCTGAACAAATGTTATTATTGATGTGTGAAGAGGGATCTGTTATGTGTATAAATGTCACGAAGCTCAGGGCCCTGTGCATGCACTGTTTTAGTAATGGTCCTTGTGTTTATATTCACTTTCATTTATGAGGGGCTAACCTGGGAAAAAGCTAATTACCTAAATGGCTGCCTTACTTTTATGGAGATACTCGCTACAGAATTATTTACTTACTTTTATGGAGCTACTCACTATAGAATTATTCTTTATGCCACATCCAGGCATAAAGAAAAACTCCAGTTTATCTTTACTAAACATCTTCCACATTTACTTCAGTAGTGGGAATACCTTGCCACTCCACTATCATTACTAACATAAAAACTTATAAAACATGAGGGAAGCTGGGCTTGGTAGTGCACACCTGTAATCTCAGAGGCTCAGGAGGATAAGGCAGGAGGATCCTGAGTGCAAATCCAGCTGCTACGCAAATCAGTGAGACTCTGTCTCTAAATAAAATACAAAATAGGGCTGGGGATATAGCTCAGAGGTCAGGTGTCCCTGAGTTTAATCCCTAGTAACCCGTTGCCCCGGCAAAAAAATGAGGGAAGACCCTGAAATTATTACTTAAAATTAATTTTCCTTGTAAAGATAATTTATAAACAGCTCCATGACATAATCCTCCCACTCACTAATCACAAGTTAAAACACCTCTATTTTCCCCCCATAGAAAAGAACATTGGGGGGCTGGGATTGTGGTTCAGCGGTAGAGCGTTCACCTAGCACAGGCGGGACCCGGTTCAATTCTCAACACCACATTAAAAAAAAAAATAAATAAATAAAGGCATTGTGTTGTGTCCATTTACAAAAAAGATATTCCCTCTCTTTAAAAAAATTTTAAAAAGAAAAAAAAAAAGAAAAGAACATTAGGCTGGGTTGTGGCTCAGTGGTAGAGTACTCGCCTAGCATTGTGAGGCACTGGGTACGATCCTTAGCACCACATAAAAATAAAGATACTGTGTCCAACCTAAAACTAAAAAATAAATATTTAAAGAAAAGAACACTGTTCTATTAAATGGTATTCAAAGGCTAAAGAATAACAATAAAATGCAGTAACAAAAAAATGAATTTGATTATTTAATAATATCTAAATGGTACTTTTCAGTGATTAATTTTTAGACCAATATTTACATTTTTATATGATTTAAATGACATTAAGATGATATAAAATTAAACAACATAAAGTTAAAAAAATCATTTAAGTTAAGAAAATTTGGGTCTTTTATGTTAATTGATAAGAATATACTCACATAACTGTCAAAAACTAGATTTTTCTTTTAACATTTTTATTTGTTTTTTTAATTGACAAAATGGTGTGTATTTACCATGTACAACATGATGTTCTGAATTATGCAGACTCTCTGGGGTGGCTAAATCGAGCTAAAAACACATCCATTACTTCATGTACTTTTCATTTCTTTTGAGGTAAGGACACTTAAAATCTACTCCTCCAGCAGTTTTCAAAAATATAATACACTGACCATAATATATGTCACTAGCTATATGTCACTAGATCCCTTAAACTTATTCCTCCTAACTGATCAACACATTTCTATAAAAACTAGATTTCTGATAGCTGTACAAAGACTGCTTTTACATCTTGGAATGTACATACACATAAGGTTAACTTGCCATGAGCCTAAAATTACAATATATGCATGAATATAAGGTAAGGCTTATAATTTCCTGAAGTCGTTTATTAGAGAAGTGAATTATCTTGTTGAGTTCTTCCATAGTATCTCATCTTGAAATTTTCTTTCATTTGCTTAATATGGAACAAAGAAATACTCTTTGGAAAAAAACACTAGTTTCAAAAGCAACTGAATTCAAAGCTAGCTTTAGATTTATAGAAATATTAATGAGAATCAGAAAAAGAGGAAAAAAATCAATACCTTAAGTATTCCCAAGATATAACCTTAAAATTAAATATGTTGCATATTGTTACAAAGAAGCTTTTAAAACTGCTTTTTAAAAAAAAGTAGTCAAGGGGCTGGGGTTGTGGCTCAGCAGTAGAGCGCTTGCCTAGCACTGTGAGGCCCTGGGTTCGATCCTCAGCACCACATAAAAATAAATAAAATAAAAAGGTATTGTGTCCGACTACAACTAAAAAATAAATATTTTTTAAAAAGTAGTCAAATATTCTCTCAGAAAGGACACACGTAAGTTAATTCTGGGAAGTAAGTGGGCAGGCAAAGGAAGAACTGGAGGGCAACCTGCTTATGTTCCCATAACATTTTAAACCATGGGAATGCATTATCTAATAAAAATGAAAGCACAAAACAACAACACAAAAGGTTAAATTCTAAAACAGAAATGACACCCCCATAAAATGTTGAAACCAATGACAAATCAGTGATGAGGCTGTAGAGACTATGAATGTGCAACAATAAGTCAACTTTAAAGTCTTATCATGCATGTATTTTAAAAAAACTGCTGGACCTCAAAAAGAGAAATAGAGATATGTACTGGAAATCAGAGCTAGATAGATGATGCATGGGGTATCTGTTGATAAAACACACTGAAGACAAAGATTCAGTACAGGGTTTTATCAACTGAGAGTGAAAAAGCAATCCTTCTATATTACTGCATTGCTTCATAAAATGTAACTAATAAATTTTTACCTTTTCATAAACTATCCTAAGAGCTTATAAGGGAGACTAAACTATATTTGGGTTTAGCATACATTTAGGCATCTATACTAATTTCTGAAAGAGAACATGGTGAATGACCAAAAAGTGTAAACTTTCCTCACACACTTCCCCATCGCCTGGTACAGATGACCAGTTTCAAGAACAGTTTTACATTTTGATTATTTTGGGAGGCAGGGTACTGGGAATTGAACCCAGAGGCATTTAACCACTGAGCCACATCCCCAGCCCATATATCTCCAGCCTCTCTCTATATAAAATGTACATATGTAGATTTTAGAGACAGGTCTTGCTAAGTTGCTTAGGGCCTCACCAAGTTGCTGGGATTACAGGTGTGCGCCACCATGCCCAGCTACATTCTAATTTTATATAAGTACAACTCCTATTTTGTTTTAGGGTAATGATTTGCACATTATATTGATCCAAGTGTACTGTGCAAAAATGCAGTTGTCTGTATCATTGTTTAAAAAGCAAGGCTCCTAATGACAGAGTGTTCCAAAGCCTTTACCATAAATCACAGCATCCAGATGGCTTTGGCAGCAACCTGGTGGAGATGTTGCTTTGAACCAATCAAAAACAGCCAATGGCTGTGCCTTGTTTCTGAATGAGATTCAGAAACGAAGTAAAACATCTTATTTGGAGAAGAAATTCACATTAAAGACCTGTACTAAGGATCTAAACATAGTAGTAGATGCCCTTTATCCACTTTGCTAAATAAAGTAAGACCATTAATGAATAAATCAGGAAACCACTCAGGATACAGAAAAGTAAGTAACTGGGTACATAAGGAAGCATTCTGAAGAAACAGTTTTATTTTTTCCAGCTTTTAAAACTAAAATTAAAAAGATGTATTTATAAAGGTAAGCCTCACCAGAACTGTGAAAAATCTAGTAAACCCACTTGAAATACTTAATTCTGCCTTTACAAAATATGCATATTTACTATGTTTATGAACTTTAACATTACTTTTTCTTTACGCTATAAATATTAACAGTAAAAGTACATCATTTATCTCCATTCATTTATGTTAAAATTTGACAGTTTTATTTTCTGGAGACTCTGGGATGGTTCTGTGATCAATAAAAATTTGCTAAAAAAGGTAAGGAATTAATAGAAAATACTCATTTTGTATGCAATGATGAGCTAGCTAAAGACAGAATCTTGGTCACATCTATGCCCATTTATATCAAAATATTCACATATGAAATTCTTGCCTTCCGTCATCACTGAGAACATAAATCTCTCCATTTCCAAAGGAAGGTGTGTCGTAAGGAGATGGGGAAAGGGGGAGAATGTACTCTCAGCCACATGCTGCTTCCCTGGCACCAGCATAGGGAGGCAATTTCCAATGACATTACAGCATGAAATCTGCTGGAATCTGTGTGAAATGGATTGAAGCTAAAACTGATTTCTAAAGGTAATGTTGCTAGCAAAGACACTGGGTAAATAATGAAAGATCTGGAAGGAAAGTGAAATACTATCTGTTTTCAAAACCATCCTATGACAGTGTCCTCCTAGACTCACTGCTGGACCGAACTGACAAAAGCAAACTGAAAAGGAATAAACTGGGCTGAGAGGGTGACTCTTTAACAAGGTTGCCACTGCACATGTTAATGAACTCACCGTTCTTCCTTTCGTTCAGAGGGGGTAAGTGCTGACTGGACTGCAAGGAGAGTTCCTGGAATTCGTGAGCCACGGCCTCACTTTGAGGACTTGGAGCAAGATGGGCTAGAGGTCCCAACTCATCCTCGGTGTCTAAGGCCCCCACGTGATCCATTGTGTTCCAGCCACTGGCAACAGGGAATACGAGACACCTCTTCACGTGGCCTGTTGAAGAGACTGTCAAATAAATAATGTGTAAATAAAATAAATAAATGGTACACTTGTTTTTCTCCAACTTGCACAAAAGTATTAATATAGGATCCCTGGGTACTAGTCTGGTTTTATTGTTGTGTGGTCATTACCATTTGCCTAGCCAAGGCAAAAAGAACTAAGATTTCAGGACTGCCCTAAAGGGTTTGCAAAAGTGAGTTCAGCAAAGTTAATGCCCTACTAAAACAGAATCTAGCTCCCTCTCTGGACCTCATGGTCCTTGTCCAACACACAGGAATAATATACTTTCCATCCAGGAAAGCACTTACATGTAAAGAAAAGAAACTATGTTGTAAACTTCTTTTGTAGCAAGGATTAAAGAAAGCTATTGCTACTGATGTCACTTAAAGATTTCAATGCATGCTAAAATGAGAAGAAAGTCAACTAACGCCAATGAAAATAAAGCAGCAGGCTGGCTTGAAAATGCATGTTAACTCCTTCATATCAAACAACTTCAGTCAAAATTCATAGCAACCAGCAATGTTTCAGATAAAAACTCCTCTGCCAGCCTGGGTCTCAGGGTGAAACCAAAAGGAAACAGAACTTTCAGCTCACCCACAATGCACATATAGTTCATGTCAAAGAAGCAAACCTTTATTTTATATCATGAAGATTTGAGATTATTTGTTACTACAGCATAACTTGGACTATGCTGACTGATACAGAAATTAATAATGGTAGTACCAATGACACAAACGTTATTGGAAGCTATAAGGATTGCTGTTCCAATAACAAAAACTATTATTGGAAGCTATAAGGATGGTAGTCTATGTTACTCAGTAGTAACACATTTGGAAGACTACTGTCTACTTATTTAGTAGCACTTCATACACAGATTGTCCATTCATTCACCCATTGATGAACACTTGGGCTCTTTCTAGTTTTTACAACTATTACAAATAAACATGCTATGAACACTCCTGCACAGGTTTTATAGTTACATGCTTTCATTTTTCTTGAGTAAAATGCCTAGGAGTGGGATGGCTGAATCATATGGCAGCTATATATTTAAATTTTAAAGAAACTGACAAAATTTTCTGAAGTCGTTGAACCATTTTGCATTCTTATTGGCAGAGTGCAAGAATCCAGTTGTTCCACATCCTTGCTAACACTTCATTTGCTCAATCTTTTTCCTTTTGGTCATTTAGTGGGCACATGGTATTTGACTGTGGTTTTAATTTGTATTTCCCTAGTGACTGATGATGTTTTAATGAGCTTAACTAAAGAAATAAAGGGATGGCAGATAAGTTTCTGATGAAATCTTTTTGTTCATTTTTAATATTAGGTGGTTTTCTTGTAATCTGAGTTTTTATCAGATATGTGATTTGTAACTATTTTTCCCAGAGGCTTACCTTTTCATGCTCTTAACAGTGTTTTGTAAAGAGTAGATATTTTGATTGAATAAAGTCAAATTTATCAATATTTTTTTGAACCACATTTTTGTAGTTGTTAATACAAGTCTTTGATTAGCCCAAGGTCACAAAGAGTATCTCCAATGTTTTCTTCTAGATATAGATTTGTGTTTTACATTTAAATCTATGGTCCATTTTGAGTTAATTTTTACATAGACAGATATGAATCAAAGTTCTTTCGGGGGGGGGCATATTGATGTCTGATTGTTACAGCACCATCTGTTAAAAGATTATCCTTTTCTACTAAATTCCCTTTGCACCTTTGTTAAAGTCAATTAACCATGTATATGTGAATCTATTTTGTAACTCTGTTTACAAAAAAAGGTGTGAGGGCCTCAACTTTTTTGGGTGATTCCTAAACTATTACATGTGCAGGGTAGACTCCATGAAGCCTAGCCAAGGCAAAAAGAACTAAGATTTCAGGACTGCCCACCATAGGAGAGACAGGGTTTGCAAAAGTGAGTTCAGCAAAGTTAATGCCCTACTAAAACAAAACAATGCTCTTAAGAGGGAGCCCAACAGAATCTAGCTACAACCAGAATTCCACATCCAATGAAAATACCCTTTAACAAAGAAGGCAAACATGTCACCAGTGAATACATACTATAAGGAATGCTAAAAGAAACTATTTGGGATGAAGAAAAGTGATACCAGATAAAAATTTAGATCTCAGGAATGAAAAGCATTAAATACAAATAAATAACAGACTAGCTTTTTTTTTTTCTTAATTTCTTTAATCTTATCACACTCTGCAAAATGTATAATGCTTTCTTGTGGAGTTTGTAATACATGAAGATATCATGTGATAACTATAGCAGAAAGGATGAGGGGGGCAAATGTATTTAATGTTTTGCATTTCTATATATTATAAAGAAGTTGCATAATTATAACTTTAGAAAGACTGAGAAATTAAGGTTGTATATAATTCTAAAAATAAAATTTGAAAATACAAATAGCTTTAGCTAACAAATATTCAATTTTAACAACAACCAAAGGAAACAGAACACAAAAGTAAAATGGAACAAAATAATTGGCCTTAATTATTAAATATTAATGGGCAAATCAATCCAACTGAAAGACAGAGACTAACAGAATAAATTTTATAGAAAGTCTAAAAGTGTATGTTTATAAGCCACATACTTTAGAAAAGATGACACAAACGGGTAGAAGAAGATGGATATAAGAAGGCAGATCATGTAAGCAAGAAGCCAAGAAGTTGTAATGACTATCAGATACAAGTATCATAATTCTCTTATAATGCAAGATATGTTGACACCAAATTATTTCTCAGATACAAGAACCATAATGCCCTTATAATGGCAAGATGTACTAACTTTGAACATTAGTGCTAATGATTTGGAAGATCCTTTAGGGGCAGATTTTAAAATATTTTCATGGAAGAATTATCTGTTCTTAATATTGAAGAATTTTTTTTCAACCTATTATGCCTTGACATTGTGTTCACCTTAAACTCCCACGCATCCCTCCAAATTAAGAAAATTATAAGCTAAGCAAATCTTAAAATCTAGCAAAGGGAAAAGAATAAATTTTCAAAAAATTTTAACTTAATATTCATGAACATTTTTGATGGAGTATAGGCTATATTCTAAAATTTTGTAAGCTGTCATCTTAAAGTCTACTTAACTACTTGATGATTTTTCTTTGAAACTGAAATCTAACATCAAATATAAAAAGCACTCTCTTGTCTAGTAGGAGATAATTGAGATGTTAAAGAAATTGCATCAGAATGGATCCTTTCAGGGTCATAATTTAATTATGAAAGTAAACTATAGGGCTGGGGTTGTGGCTCAGTGGTAGAGCGCTCGCCTAGCAAGTGCGGGGCCCTGGGTTCGATTCTCAGCACCACATAAAAATAAATAAATAAAGACACTGTGCCCAACCATAACTAAAAAAATAAATATTCAAAACAAAAAAATTTTTTTTAAAGTAAAACTAATTTAGATTTAACTGGACAAAGAGTGGTAAAATGGTAATTTGTCTAGAACTAACAGATGAATGAATAGGAGAGTTAATACCTTCAAATCTCAATAACATAACTATATTCCAAATGAGCTAAATCCAACGTTTATCTGGAAGTAAAAGCACAGCACAATACAAGTAAGATTAACCTGGAATACAGCTTCTGTTCTCAAGAAACAAACCACTGGGCTAGGGTATCTTAGTGGGAGAGCACCTACCTAGCATACCTGAGGCCCTGGGTTCAATCCTCAGAAGCACAAAAAACAAAAAACTAAAACACCCTTACAAAAAACCTCTTCATTGTTAGATGCTCCTATAGTGATAGGAAAAAATAAAGAAAAAAAAAAGAGACAGTACACTTTCATTTTTTTCATCTATTCATTTCCTTTTATCTAAATGGAGCCAGAAAACACTAATGAGATCATATTTTAAAAAGTGATGGGCTATTAGAATAAGGTGATCCCTAAATCAGCCCTAACATTTGTCTTGAATTAAGTGTGAATCCAAAGCCAACATTTTTTCCACTGTACCTTATTGCTCGTAGTGACTAATGACTAATTTATATGACATACCTGTAAATAAAATGGTATAGAATCACTGCTATGTACAAGGAATGTGAAATAATAAAGAAGTTCAAAGGATATAAATATCAAACTTCAGAAGTTTAATATACAATCAGTCAAATGAAGAGAGGTAGACGTTTTAGCAATAACAGAGCTATTGTCCCTGCCCTTCAAAGCTCCCCTGAATTACAAACTTTAGGGAAATACAAACAAGATCAAGCAGCAGACTTGGATGAAGAAGTACAAAGACAAAGTTAACCACATACCCACAGTAATTCTGTGATACAAACAAACAAACCAAGGTAAATTAATGATGTCAACCCTGGGTTATTTCACATTATCTGTTCTTCCCACCAAAACTCCTGGTGGCAATTTGTTAGATATCTAATTCAAAATTTATTTACTATTATATTTATAAAATCATGTCAACTGTATGTATGAAAATATTTTCTTAGCAATATACTGTAGTTTCCTATATTATTCTCTTCTAAATGAAATTTCTTAAGTGTAACAAGGATTCATTATCAAGGGACTGGAGTTATACTTCAGTAGTAGAGTGTTTACCTAGCATATGTGAGGTACTGGGTTCGATCCTCAGCACCACATAAAAATAAGCTTAAAAAAAATTAAAGGAATTGTGTCCATGTACAACTAAAAAAATTTAAATTCATTATCAAATCCATTTATATATTTATATGAATAAAATTCACCTCCCAATTTTATAATTGGGGGGAAAAAAATCACAGAAAGGAACACTTTGTTCAAACTATTTACTCTTAACAATTAAGATAAAATCAAATAATTGGTTTAAAACTACATATTTCTACACAAATATTTCATTACTCCACATACATTTTTATTAACTGTTATGAAAAGTGTTGTCATCCTTTGGTTTTTTCCTAATTTAACTCCTGGCTTGATTACCTACATTCTCTTACATTTAAAAGGCCACAGATTCATAAAATGACAGGATATTTTAGCTGAAAGCTTTCTTAGAACCAATATCCAGTAT